AACTATATATCTATCCTAACCACTTTGAATACACAGATACAAAATGGACATTCATCTGTAGACCCTTTTTATGTTAAGTTCCGTTATTTGAATATTATAGGCGTGTAAACTCAGCGAAATATTCTAAAAGAATCCAGTAGCCCATAATAGTATTGGGGCTTCCGCTTGACTGGCAATGTCAGAAATTGTTGACCTGAGTCCCCTACAGCTCACATAACAGCTTGGCTTTATTAATTAAGGACTCACACTCTTATCTGAGTTCTTCAGTCTGTGACTAGCCACTTGTTAACTGAGGAACTGTTGTGGGATAGTAGAAGCTAGTCTCCTGTCTTAATTCCTACAACATGAATTGTTATGCTGGCCCCAAATGTTAATTATAGTAATAACCACTTTGCAATGCATAGCTTACAAGAGATACATCAGTGATTGCCAGTAGAAAGAACCTAGAATAAAGGGTATCTTGCCTTTGAAAAATATGCACTCCGGGGCATATCGTGAGTGACCTAGTTATTTCATTTTAATACAAATAAGTTTTTGATAGGAGTAACTTCGCTATTTGTAAAAATATAAGTCAAGCATTTAAAAAGAAATGATGGTAAAATAGCTATTGGGAAGTTTATCACATACATTTGACAATCTGGAATTTTTCTTCACACTGAATTTGGGAGGTGGGGGAGAGTGATGAGCATGATTCAGAGACCGTTTCCATCTTTTTGTATTGATCTTCTTTTCATTATTCAGGTATATTCACCCTTTCAAGAGCTTCCATTATGAGCAATCTGCTCGACTTGAAGGAATTTACTTTCTGACAGAGACTTTTGTCACACAAGACAAGTACACACTAGAGGGAATTATTTTCATTCTATTTGAGATTACTTATTTGATTGAATTCAATGGTTGAACTTGTATCCATTTTCAGTATTCAGTTTAAGATGTATTTTGGTTACAAACAAAGACATAAATGGTTATGGGTTACACACACTCTGTGTGTCTATCAGAGATTATTTATTTTTTCTGAAAGACTTTTTTGATTTGAATCTTTATTTTTTATAAATTTTATTTATTGTGTGTGTGTGTGTGTGTGTGTGTGTGTGTGTGTGTGTGGCCAGCTCAGCCCACCAGGGGGTGGGGCGGGCTGGCATGTGGTGCTGGGGGATTGAAC